TCACCTGTAACTGTACCTGTACCTGTAACCTAAATCTGGTCATTGTAATATCGACACCCAGCTTCGAGAACTGTGCTGGTACAGGTGGTGAGGAGAGTGACCTTTAAGACACAGGCGTATAGAGGTGATAACTGTGAGCTGGAGGAACATCTGGGTCACTGCGGATATTTCTTTATTGATTGGCTGCCTGCGGTCGTCATCACCTCCCCCCACCACTCCCCCTATCACCCCCACTACCCCACCATCACCCCCACTAACACCCCCATACATAATTATGCTACACCAGGTGAGGTATATTACCTGTATGAGCTAATAACTATTAATTACTTCAACAGTTAAACACAGGTGAAGATCATCATAAGCCATTGGGTCAACCAGTCAGGTAAATAAACGACATAGTTAGGCAGTGTATAATTGGCTAGGATAATCAGGTATTTGTTAAGTAATTGAGTGGTTATTTCAACCAGTTAATAATGTAACAGCTCAGTACACAACACAGTTACCAGTAGAGGTCAGTCACACCGTTACCACTACACTGTCCTCACTACTACTACATAACACTGCTGGTGAGCTTCATAACACTGGTAGTCACTAAGCTTCATAACACTGGTGGTTGGACTAAGCTTCATAACACTGGTAGTCACTAAGCTTCATAACACTGGTGGTCACTGAGCTTCATAACACTGGTGGTCACTAAGCTTCATAACACTGGTGGTCACTGAGCTTCATAACACTGGTAGTCACTAAGCTTCTAACACTGGTGGTTGGAGCTTCGTACAGGTTAATGAACAACACACGTTATCTAGAGCAGTTGTCAGCCATAACGGGACAGTATGCCTAACTCACAGTCTCTCCTACACTTGATGTTTTATAACTCACCACAACACCATACATTGGGTCACCACCACCTGCAACACTGTACTTATGGTGGTAAATGTTTATATATAGAACTTCTTAGGCACACACACACACACACACACACACACACACACACACACACACAAATAATAATAATAATAATAATCATAATAATAATAAAAAATGTAAATAATAATAATAATAATAATAATAATAATAATAATAATAATAATAATAATAATAAGGCCGTCAGGTGAACCTTTCTGAGAAGCGATGAGTGACTGCTACAGTTTTCTAGAGGTCAGTATTGTGCTGAAGCAAATCCAATCAAAGTTGGCGGACCTGGGACCACCGTAGAAATTAATGAATCTTGCTTCTCCATAAGCGAAACATCATCGTGACGAGAACGAAGCTTTTAAATTCTTACCTTCAAGAATTCCTGTGGTATGATCGTTTTCTGATAATCCTATGGAAATTATATGTCCATAAGTTGCTGTTCAGTACCCTTTGTAATATGCATCATATTGCTGTATTATGGAATACTGAGTAAAGTATTTTGTATTTTGGAACACGGTGATTATTATTCTTGTTTTGTTTCTTTAAACTTTTCTACAATAAAGATGCGTAACACAAAGGAATATATTTATGTTATCCTAATTATACAAATTATATTCACTGTGGGCTGGGGTGACGATTCTTCAGGTGGAGCAGGCTGGGGTGACAATTCTTCAGGTGGGATATCCTGGGTGACGATTCTTCAGGTGATCCAATAATAATAATAATAATAATAATAATAATAATAATAATAATAATAATAATAATAATAATAATTAATAATAATAATAATAATAATAATAATAATAATAATAATAATAATAATAATAATGGCTGCCCTCGTGTAACGAGGTTGGCGGCAAGAGGCCACCCTAGGCGTGAATTTGTTTAAGGTGTAGAAGCTGTCGCCAACACAACAACCACACCCTGAGTTAACGAGCTGCATGACCCAGTGTTTAAGGTGTAGAAGCTGTCGCCAACACAACAACCACACCCTGAGTTAACGAGCTGCATGACCCAGTGTTTAGGTGTAGAAGCTGTCGCCAACACAACAACCACATCCTGAGTTAACGAGCTGCATGACTCAGTGTTTAAAGGTCATGTCGTCAACACAACAACCACACCCTGAGTTAACGATCTGTATGACCCAGTGTTTAAGGTGTGAAGCTGTCGCCAACACAACAACCACACCCTGAGTTAACGAGCTGCATGACTTAGTGTTTAAGGTGTAGAAGCTGTCGCCAACACAACAACCACACCCTGAGTTAACGAGCTGCATGACCCAGTGTTTAAGGTGTGAAGCTGTCGCCAACACAACAACCACACCCTGAGGTTAACGAGCTGCAATGACCTAGTGTTTAGGTGTAGAAGCTGTCGCCAACACAACAACCACACCCTGAGTTAACGAGCTGCATGACCCAGTGTTTAAGGTGTAGAAGCTGTCGCCAACACAACAACCACACCCTGAGTTAACGAGCTGCATGACCCAGTGTTTAAGGTGTGGAAGCTGTCGCCAACACAACAACCACACCCTGAGTTAACGAGCTGCATGACCCAGTGTTTAAGGTGTAGAAGCTGTCGCCAGCACAACAACCACACTGAGTTAACGAGCTGCATGACCCAGTGTTTAAGGTGTAGAAGCTGTCGCCAACTACCACACCTGAGTTAACGGGCTGCATGACCCAGTGTTTAAGGTGTAGAAGCTGTCGCCAACACAAAACACCCTGGAGTTAACGGGCTGCATGACCCAGTGTTTAGGTGTAGAAGCTGTCGCCAACACAACAACCACTCCTGGAGTTAACAAGCTGCATAACCCAGTGTTTAAGGTGTAGAAGCTGTCGCCAACGCAACAACCACACCCTGAGTTAACGAGCTGCATGACCCAGTGTTTAAGGTGTAGAAGCTGTCGCCAACACAACAACCACACCCTGAGTTAACGGGTTGCATGACCCAGTGTTGAAGGTGTAGAAGCTGTCGCCAACACAACAACCACACCCTGAGTTAACGAGCTGCATGACCCAGCGTCAAGGAATAGTCCGAAGACCGGACAACTCGCCAACTGCACTGGCTAACCATTACCCCGGAACACGATCCGTAAATCGATTACCATCTAGGTTCCCAATTACTGGGTTATATATATATATATATATATATATATATATATATATATATATATATATATATATATATATATATATATATATATATATATATTAGGGAAGAGTTAATAATTTAGTGTTAAGTATTGGTTGCTTTAGCGTGACGTCATTCCAGTTGATGCCGGGGGAGGATGACGTCAGAGTGTGGTGGCGCCGCCGTACCAGTGGGCGAAAACACTATTACTAAAGTTGGCAACAAGTATGTTATATCCTCCTTTAACACGAGAACAACATATAATGTGAATATCCCAGGTGGCAGAAAGACTGGGGCAATATATTTACGTAGAGCAGGTTTTAAAGTAGATGGCTGAAGCTGTGTTTGGCGGACACAGCCCTCATCACCGCTCACTGTGTACGTCAGTTTTAATTGAACGACTGGCAACAAGCGGCTGCCAGCGGTACGGTTGCCAATTGTACTGCCATGACACCAACACCTGTGTGAGTGACCCCTGACCTTCTGACCTCATGATCAATACACCTGCACCACTATCACCCATTACTGTATACACAAACAACACCTTGTTCATGTGTATTACCACCTCCCTACGGCCTAGAAAACAGTTCGTTAATGTTCGAAATAAGGCAAACAGGGTATTAGGTTTATATCTAGAAGTGTAAGTAATAAGAGTGCAGAGGTCTTGTTGCAACTATATCTTGCGCTAGTCAGGCCGCACCTCGATTATGCGGTTCAGTTCTGTGCCTTATTATAGAATGGATATAAATTCACTAGAGTCGGTGCAGCGAAGAATGACAAAAAGGATTCCGGGACTTAGAAACCTTCCATATCAGGATAGGCTAAAGAAACTAAACTTGTCCCTAGAAAGACGAAGAGTGCGGGAGATATGATAGAAATTTAAGTGGGTGAAAGGAATCAATAAAGGGGATATAGATAAAGTTCTTATAATATCCGAGCAGGATAGGACTCGGAGCAACGGTTTACGTTGGATAAGTTTAGGTTAGGAGGGAGATTGGAAGGAACTGGTTCGCAAATGGGTGGTGGACGAGTGGAACAAGCTAGCAACTTTGTAGTAAGTGCTGGAACGCTGGAAAGTTTTTAAGGAGGCTAGATAGATTCATGGATGATAGAGAGTGGTAGTAACTCTCGACAGGGCTATCCTGCAAGCCAACCGGCCTATTGCAGACTCCTTATTTTCTTATGTTCTTATGTTAACGCATCTAACACCTCTTCAGAGTTAAGTTAGGTTATGTTAGGTTAGGTTAGGTTAGGTTAGGTTATGTTAGGTTACGTTAGGTTAAGTTAGGTTAAGTTATGTTAAGTTAGGTTATGTTAGGTTAGGTTAAGTTGGGTTGTTAGGTTAAGTTGGTCGGGTTAAGTTAGGTCAGGTTAAGTTAGGTTAAATTAACACCGATTCAATAAACATCGCGTTAACATGGATAGACTTGGTTTAACTTGATCCAAGTTTAATTACATGTTATATTGTTGACCATAAAACAGACGTGTTATTGGGGGTAAAACAACAGTGTGAACAGTGGCAAAATATTTAACCTCCTGATTACGATGTAACCTCAGAGTACGATGACTTACCTCAGAGTACGATGACTTAACCCCTGAGAGTACGATGACTTAACCTCAGAGTGCGATGACTTAACCTCAGAGTACGATGACAACCCTGAGAGTACGATGACAACCTCAGGTACGATGACAACCCCTGAGTACGATGACAACTGGAATGCGATGACAACTTGTGCATGATGACTTAACCTGGGTACGATGACAACCTCAGAATACGATGACAACTGATGCGATGACAACCTCTGAGGTACGATGACAACCTGGGTACGATGACTTAACCTCAGAGTACGATGACAACCCTGAGTACGATGACTTAACCCTGGTGCGACGACTTAACCTGAATACGTTGGCTGACAGGTACGATGAAACCGGGGTACGATGACAGCCTGAGTACGATGAGCAACGAGTACGATGACAACCTCGAGTACATTGACAACCCTGGGTACGATGACAACCCTGGGTGCGATGACTTAACCTCAGGTGCGATGACAACCTGAGTACGATGACAACCCTGGTGCGATGAGCAACCGCTGTGCATGATGACAACCCTGGTACGATGACAACCTCAAATACGATGACAACCCTGGTACGATGACTTAACCTCTGAGTGATGACTACCTGGTACGATGACAACCTCAGAGTGCGATGACAACCCTGAGTGCGGTAGTAACCCTGGGTACGACGGCTTAACCTCTGAATCGATGACAGCGGGTACGATGACAGCGGTACGATGACAACTGGTACGATGACAACGAGTACGATGACTCCTGAGTACGATGACATCCTCAGAGTACGATGACTAAACTCTGGTACGATGACCTAACCTCAGAGTACGATGACTTAACCTGAGTGCGATGACCTAACCTCAGGAGTACGATGACTTAACCAGAGTACGATGACTGAACTTCAGGTACGATGACTACCCCTGAGTATGATGACAACTTCTGAGTACAATAACTAAGCCCTTGAGTACAATGTCTTAGCCCGAGTCACCGTACTCAGGGGTTAGAATCATCGTGCACAGGGGTAAGTCATCGTACTCAGGGAATTAAGTCATCGTATCCAAGGGAAGATCATCGTGCCTAGGGATGAATCATCGTGCCTGGGGTAGATCATCGTGCACAAGAATGTCATCGTGCTGAGGGTTAGTCATCGTACGAGAGGTTAAGTCATCGTACGTAGAACATCATTACGGATGAGTCATCGTGCCAAGGGTTAGTCATCGTGCCTGGGGTTGATCATCGTCAGGATTAAGTCATCGTGCCTAGAGAGTTAAGTCATCGTGCACAATTAAGTGTCATCGTGCCCTGGGGGTTAGTCATCGTTCTAGGGGTTAAGTTACCGATGCCTGGGGTTAAGTCATCGTGCCTGGGGGATGAAAAGTTACCGTGGGGGTTGAGTCATCGTGCTGTGCTTAGTCATCGTGCAGGGTTAAGTCATCGTGCATGAGAGGTTAAGTCATCGTGCGAGAGGTTAGATCATCGTGCACAAGGGGTTAATCATCGTGCATGAGGATAGAGTCATCGTGCCAGGGGATGATTACCGTGCACGGGTTGAGTCATCGTGCCTAGGGGTTAAGTCATCGTGCTAAGGGGTGAAGTCATCGTGCACGAGAGTTAAATCATCGTGCTGAGGTTGCATCGTTACACAGAAGGTTAGTCATCGTACTCAGGGGGTTAAGTCATCGTGCACAAGGGGTTAAGTCATCGTACACAAGGGGTTAAGTCATCGTGCACAAGGGGTTAAGTCATCGTGCACAAGGGGTTAAGTCATCGTGCACAAGGTGTTAAGTCATCGTGCACAAGGGGTTAAGTCATCGTGCACAAGGGGTTAAGTCATCGTACACAAGGGGTTAAGTCATCGTGCACAAGGTGTTAAGTCATCGTGCACGAGAGGTTAAGTCATCGTGCACGAGAGGTTAAATCATCGTGCACAAGGGGTTAAGTCATCGTGCACGAGAGGTTAAGTCATCGTGCACGAGAGGTTAAATCATCGTGCACAAGGGGTTAAGTCATCGTGCACGAGAGGTTAAGTCATCGTGCACAAGGGGTTAAGTCATCGTGCACAAGGGGTTAAGTCATCGTGCACAAGGGGTTAAGTCATCGTGCACAAGGGGTTAAGTCATCGTGCACAAGGGGTTAAGTCATCGTGCACAAGGGGTTAAGTCATCGTACAGAGGAAGTTGTCCATTATTAATATATAAAAAAAATCTTTGAAATATAATCAAATGGGAGGCGTACAAACAGCCTTCTGAAAATAAAACGGGAAATATAATTAATATGAAAGACTTAAATAACATTAATAGAGTAGTTAACGCCCATTGAAAACACTATATTGTAACCTGGGAATAATAGTAATTAACTCAGTCCTTGACCCAGCGACCACTTAGCCAATCACGGTTCCAGGCATTTATGACGTCACAGACCCTACACCCCAGTATGAATGGAAGAGCTGAGATTAACAAAATATATATATGCCAGTAAGAAATATTTACAAGACACGAGTTTAACAATAAAGCTTAGAGATAAAGTATCAACATAAACTGTATTACAGGTGAATAACACTTAACAAAATCAACCAATCTCCCGCGAGCTATGTAGGCATGACGTCACATCCTGTTCAGCAAATCACGATGCGTAATGGCCTAAGTGCCGCCCGTGATTGGCTCCAGCTAACAACCAATCAGCACCGTGTTGAGCTGCATCAACACGTTACTAAGCAGCAGCTGCAAGACTGTGTGTTGTGGTTGACTGTGCGTGTTGTGGTTGACTGTGCGTGTTGTGGTTGACTGTGTGTTTTGTGGTTGTTGCTGGTTGTGATTTGATTAGGTTAGGTCAGACCAGATCAGCTTGGGTGTTATCTTTTAAATGTACACACAATAAGGGGACGGGAGGCAGAACACTGTGAGGTTGATAGTGTTGTGGAACTCGCCGATCATCCGGAAGACTCGTAGCACCACTAGTTCGTCAGGGAAGGAGGAACGGATCGCTTCCTTGTAGTGGTGGACAACGAGCCATGAGTCCTCGATAACAACACTGGAGAACATGTCAAGGAAGGCAAGGAACGTGGTAGGCACAGGTGTGGAAGACGGGGCCCTGCACAATGGCATCAACTATTGTCACCTGGTCCTGTGAGTCGTGGTAGAGGTAGCGGCCGTCGAGGCAGCGGTACAGTGATATACAGTGGATACCGTCTTCTGGGAGGTCGTAGGCCAGGAACACACCCTCACCCTGGGCCAGAGGTCTATCCTGGAGGATCTGGTAATGGTTAGCGAACCTAATATGTGTGCCCAGGAGTCGTGGGGTCCCAGACAATATCTGGGCTTGTGTCCCGCAGGATTCCGCAGGCTTCGTACCAGTCGGAGGTCCATGTTGTATTAACGCAAAATCAGCGGTTTGATTTGGAAGTAGATTATAAAATTGGCCTTTTGGTGAAATAAACAAGTGTAAATTATGAGGTAGGAATTTTTGATAGTGAAGACGTGGTCGTTTTGAGTAGCTTCTTGGTTCCTTTATAGTTGAAGAGATTTATTTAAGGTGTTATAAGACGGTCTAGTGTGTGTGTGTGTGTGTGTGTGTGTGTGTGTGTAGTGTAGTGGTGATCGTTTTGACAGTGGTAGTGATGATGGTGGTCATAGTGATGATAGTGGTAATGGTGGTAGTAGTGGTAGTTGTGTTGTGTGATGGTAGTTGTAGTAATGATAGTGGTAATAGTTATAGTAGTGATGATAGTGGTAGTGATAGTAGTGATGATAGTGGTCATAGTGATGACAGTGGTAATGGAGGTAGTAGTGGTAGTTGTGTTGTGTGATGGTGGTAGTGATGATGGTGGTCATTAGTAATGATAGTGGTAATGGTGATAGTAGTGATGTTAGTAGTAGTGATGATAGTGGTAAATGTGGTAGTGAAGATGGTGGCTGTAGTGGTAGTGGTGGTGGTCAACCTTTTGCAAGTATGCATTGGTGGAAATACGACCTGTGATTGGCTGCTTCACAAACCAATTAGAACATTATAAACACAACTATGGCGCATCTTAACTAATTACTTGTCTCCCATACGCCATCTTTGTTTTAACCACATAAATAATCCCCCACACCACACAGGTAAGTCAGGTAATTATACACCAATTAGTACATGTATTACCTGTGTTACCTGGGATAACATGGGACTAGTATAGCGGTGTTTTGGGCCTCACTAAATATACTAAATTAATCAGGTAGTGTAAGAAGTTAGTTAATTGATTCATGTCAACAAAAACAAGAATATATAATACAAAATGGCTGAGATGTTGTCCTGAGACTGTAGTTTAGGTTTAGAAGGGAGATAGGAAGGAACTGGTTCGCAAATAGGGTGGTAGACGAGTGGAACAAGCTTAGCAACTTTGTAGTAAGTGCTGGAACGCTGGAAAGTTTTTAAAGGAGGCTGGATAGATTCATGGATGATAGAGTGTGGTAGTAACTCTCGACAGGAGCTGCCATGCACAGTCCAACCGGCCTATTGCAGACTCCTTATTTTCTTATGTTCTTATGTTAGGTAAGGTTAGTTTAGCGTTAGGTTAGGTTAGTGTTAAGCTAGGTTAGTGTTAGATTAGGTTAGTGTTCAGTTCAGTTAAGTTAGGTTAGTGTTCAGTTAAGTTAGGTTAGTGTTCAGTTAAATTAAGTTAGGTTAGAGTGGCTAAACCTTAAGGTGAAATAAACTGGGAGGCAAATTTTTCAGGTGATCCAATTTGTTTTGATGTTACGTCATAAGGTGTGCAGCCTAATGAATAAACCTAACCTAACCTAACCAATCCAGTCTAACTTTATCCAACCTATCCTAACCTAACAATAACCTAACCAAACCTAATGCTAACTTAACACTAACCTAACCAACCTAACCTAACATAATGCTAACTTAACACTAACCTAACCTAACCTAACCTAACATAATGCTAACTTAACACTAACCTAACCTAACGCTAACTAAATCTAACGCTAACCTAACCTAACGCCAACGTAACACTAACCTAACTTAACCTAATCTAACCTAACCTAACCAGGAGATAGTCAACAACACAAGCCTGAAAAATATAAAACGAAATTGGAAGTATTGATGTCTAGTCCTGACGAGTTATAGAGGCAACTTATTCTGTCATATATGATCATAAAAATAGATATATGTGGGTGGCGGGGCGGCAAGAGGGGTGGCGGGCGGTGGGGGGGCAGGCGGCAGTGGGTGGTGGCAGGGCAAGAGTGTGTGGGTGGCGGGCAAGAGGTGGGTGGCAGGAGCAGGAGAAGTTGGTGGCGGGGCAGCAGGAGTAAGGGTGGCGGCGGGTGAGTGTGGTGGGTGCGTAGGGCAGGAGTAAGGGTGGGGCGGCAAGAGGTGGGTGTGGGGCGGCAGGGAGTAAGGGTGAGGGGCAGGAGTAAGGGTGGCAGGGGCAGGAGTAAGGGTGGCGGGCAGCAAGAGGTGGGCGGCAAGAGGTGGTGGTAGGGCAGCAGGAGT